AAAAACGTTTATGTATTTCCAATTATTAGTAAATTTTCTATGCGCTGATAACGATGCCAGTTGTAACGGCAAATAAATCCTGACTGATTGATTAAAAGCTATCATCCTGCTGTCTTCAAATGCTTTGCAGAATTATAAATGATTTTGTGCAGTATGATGTATATTACACTAAAGACTATTATACCGTATTATAAAATGCATTATGTTATATATAATATATTACACTTATGTAGTAGATATGCATATGTGACGTAAGGTCCATGTTTGAATAGTTTAGATCTTCGATGCTGGGTTCGAATGCGACGCTGATTTGGACAGCAGTGACACGCTGAATAAGAAGATCCGTAATTCACAGATGGCGCAGTATAACTTCATCCTGGTAGTGGGCGAGAACGAGTTTAAGCGCGGCACAGTCAACGTCCGTACAAGAGATAACAAAGTTAGTGCCGGAATAAATTTTCATTTTCGGTTTCTTAGTTAAATTTAACGTTCGTTTGGCATTGGAGTATTGTGAATCACCTTTAAAAGCCCTTAAATTTGCGATTACTTCAGCTGTAAAGAAAGAAGCCGGTGTCTTGGCGATTGCAGTGAGTTCAAGGTTGTCACCACATTTTTTGACAATTAGTTCTTTATCACTGATCGAATTGACACTGTTATTGCGTTTGCTTTGGAAGTTGCGAGGCCACGTAATGGAGGCGCAGCTATGAATCTACACGGTTAATATAAAATTGTTCCTCAAAAATTATGAAAATTTCCTCTGAGAGACTGCTTCATCAAAATGGTCATAAAAGATTATGGTACGCTATAAAGTCTATATTGACATTCCAGTAGAGTCTTTGTAAAGGATAAAGATAGAAGAACTAAGAGGAAAGCGCAGACAAGGAGTAAACTAATTTCTGAACCAGTTCCATTCTGCAACTGCTCAGGGTATGCCTCACTCGATCCAGTTACTTCTAGTTAAGTAACCAGCTCTATGGTGTAAATGAAGAAATTCCTGTTCGATTTCGATTCTCTGTGCCCTGATAGATCTGTTTGTGAAATATTTGAAATTTGCCTTCAGTACTGGTAAGTTCTGGCAAGCATATATTCCGGCCATCATAACAGACATATGGACTACATCTTTGTTGCCTTTAAGAGTGGAGGTGAAATACCCTTTGAAACATTCAGATTGTCATTGTCATGCTCACTGTGTACAAAGAAGTAATTGCTGTTATGGAATTTTCAAGTGAAACAGCACCACATCTGTTCAATAACGGTGTCTCACAAGAACACACGCGTAACGGTATCTTAATTATTCTTTTTCTCTTTAGCAAAGTCTGTAAGGCCTTTCTTCAGAGAAGGTAAAAATTCTTTTGTGCGACTTTCGCATTGATTTAATTCACATTATGCGGATGCTGCTAAAAAGCGTTATCCACAGAAGATGCTTAGTAGAACATCAACGAATTTATCATGGCAACCTTCCCCTCATTCTTTATCCGATTGTAAGACTTGCATCATCTTGCCATAAGTTTTTCAATCAGCGAAAAGTTACGATATATTGCCTCCACTTTTATTGATAGTACTGGAGTATTACACATCTGAGCCATATGAAGGCGTAGAAACTAGAATCATAAAATCAAGGCCGAATATACAAACACCATCTTCATCCTGATGTCGTTTTCTTCACATTGGCGAAACTGATAGCGTTCTTGAAGAAAGAAACTCTAAACGAAAGAATCTTCATAAAATAGTTCACTGATGCCGAAGAAAAAGGTTTCCATCAAATAGGCAAAGGGAGACGACAGGCGAAACATTCCAAGGCTGTCAATATGAAATAAAAAAATTATGGTATTTTGTGAATTATGTTGTTTCCAACCAAAGTCATTTCAGTGAACGAAAGGGTGGTTTGGCGCAGAAACAACAATACCCTACCTTCAGATTCAAGGCAATCTAATTTATCTACTCCACTAGCTGCGTCACTCCTGGAGTTTGCGCAGATTCAGCTACACGTGGAATAAAAACATCAAAAGATCGTTTAGAACCATGGACAATCACTGAAGCATAAATGATATAAGATATGAGTCCTGTAGTTCTGATAACGTAACCAAATATGGTATGAGACGCCGGTTTATGAGAATGCTATATATGCAAATAAATCTTTTCTTTGTTGGTTCGACATTTAGTGTCATTAAGAGAGTTTGCTACCCTTTGCTACGGAGTTGGCCATTGTTATTAATACTGCTTAAATACTAGGTTCACGGTGAGGTGTTGGTGGACGAGCTGATCACGCGTTTCCGGCGGTTGAAAGAAGAATATGTGAAAAACAGCGAGGAAGATCTCTGAAGCACTGCGTTTATCTCATGACCGTTATTCTACCGGTGATTTGTATGCTTCATCGTCAGTGGGTCTGTCATACTTCCTCTCAACTTTTTTCTTTGTTAGCGTTTGCAAATTTCTTAATTACTGTTCGGCAAAATTGTCTTAAAAAATTTGTGAT